GAGGACTATGGCTGCGACTTGAGGGGGTTGGCGGGGGTACCGTTTGAGATTGGTAATCTGCACTTAGCTGCGGGCTGAAGAGTGCTACTGCACTGTCTGGCCATCATTGCGGGGCCCTCAGGCGAGTCAAGGCTTCAAGGCCCTCTCACACGAGTCTGAGAGCACCCATCTGAGAGTCTGACTTATTCTCGTTCTACCCTTCTCAGTCTCAGTCTAGTCTATTGGTGCCGAGAGGAAGGCGGCAGGCGGGATTGCAACCCGTAGGTCCGTGCCAAGGCCTCTGTGGGAGGTTGCCCCACCGATTGCGGGAGCTCTGCCGGAGCCCAGGCGGGGTTTTGGAGGCAGGGAACTTCAGGTATATCTTCGTTAACCTGTGTGATACCTTCCCCTAACCTTTATCCTTGGGCTACTTGAACACAACTATGTGAGGTTATTACTTCTTTCTTTTGTTATGTATGTCAGGACATGCTCTGCGAAAGGGTAAATAAACACTTATATATGTGAAAAGTTAGATACTTTGAGCGGATTGAGACAAAATGAATTGGGGGAAGGCGGGAGGAAGATGATATGCATGCGTTTGACCGGGTTAACCCAAGGTTGAGCCCCTCCGGGTGGATGTGGGCTCAGTGCTATGTTTTATTGAGGTTTGTTGATCTGAGTGAGTGACTTTTATGGCTGGTCTACCCGGGTGGGATAGGATCAGTCACTGTTTTATTTGAGGGTTTCTGAACAGGAGGACGGACACCCCGAGTGGGGAAGGCTCAGAATCCTGGTGTTTATTTTAATGAGTTGGGGTGCGTGTTTTCTTCTGAGGGAGTACCGACATAAGACTAAGCGTACCCTAGGGTTAGGGCGGCTTAGTCATGAGCCACGAATTAACTGGCCAACCAAAAGTATAAATTTTGATATATATATATTTTATTGAACTTATACTTCTGACAGGCCGGGCGCCCCGGGTGGGGAAAGCCAGTCAGTAAGTCAGGTAGAACTAAGGAAGAGGGAAAGAGATGAAGAGTAAAATAAAGGTAACTGGGCAGACTGAACGTACCCTAGGATTATGGCGGTTCAGTTATATGCTCATGATAACACTAAGGAGCAGAGAGTTAGTATAATTCTGTTCTATTTTCCTTTCTAAACATGAGGCAGGATCAAAAGTTCCATTATTGAAAAGGTCCGATCGACTGCTTAATAAGAGAAGGAAAAACATAAAGTCTGTGAAAGTATTTGTACCATATTTTATGTTGTATGGCTAACTAGGCGTACCCTAGGGTTAGGGCGGCCTAGCGATAAGCTTTTGTCGTTTAATGTAAGTTGGACGTACCCTAGGGTAAGGGCGGTCCAGCGTTTCGGTGTTTATAATTGTTCAGGCAGATCAGGCACACCCTAGGGTTAGGGCAGCCTGATCACATTGCCTTATGTAACTTAAACTGCATGGCTAACTAGGCGTACCCTAGGGTTAGGGCGGCCTAGTGATATGTCGTTATTGTTGATGTGCTGTGGGTTGGACGTACCCTAGGGTTAGGGCGGCCCTACTTTTTTTGTCGTTTGTACTTATATTCAGGCAAGCTAGACCTACCCGTGGGTAGGGATGGTCTAGAATGATGTCATATGTAACTTTGTTTAAAGCAGGTTGGACACACCCTAGGGTTAGGGCAGCCCAGTTCTATGCTTTTTGTCGTTAGTTAGGCAGAAGTCAAACGTACCCTAGGGTTAGGGCGGTCTGGTCATATGCCTTATGCGTACAGTTCATGTTACGTTGGACATACCCTAGGGTTAGGGCAGTCCAAATGTACGTACCTTACTTGTGTACCTAGGCAGGTCAGGCATACCCTAGGGTTAGGGCCTTGTCTGACTATATGCCATAGGAGAGGGGGACTTAAAAGGGGAAGAACTGAGTGATCTAACGAACTACTTGGCTCAAATTAATGTGGGATTGAGAGAGATGTTTGGTTATGCCTGCTTGTGGGCTCACACTTGGGGCATCTCATTGATAGGCTAGTTGCTTTAGATGTTCGCTGAGTGCTAGAGCTATAGGCAAGTAGGATGGATGATGGGAAGGAAAGCTTGGGATAAGATAGAACTGACTCTACTAGAAGTTAGGATCAGTGTTATCGCACAGCCTCATCAAAGAGGTCGTACAGATTATCGCTGATTCTATCTTCCAAGTAAGTGTCAGAAGTTAGTCCCAAGTATAGTTACGCCTTGTCTTTTCAGTTACAGCTCTGTATAAATTTTGGCAACCTCCTGTTCCTACGGGAAGCGCTGCCGAAATTTCTACAAATCTGAAATAGTTAATCATTTTTGGACTCGTAGAAATTCTGGAAAGGCACTTTTCCTACGGGAAGCGCTGCCGAAATTTCACAGAATTTAGGAAGTTAGATGATATTTTAGTTAAGAGAGACTTGACAAATTCACCCTGGATAGGGGAGATGCTGCCAAATTTTCTTAGTGACTTGGCGTTAGTGAGGGAAGCTGAACGTGAGACTCATAGAGGAGCTAGGGTACGAATTGGGGAACTACCCTCTACTTGGGTTGAACATAGTAGTGGTTTTCTTTGACCTATACTGTGATGCAGGTTTTCACATCCGATTGAAGGCTCGAATTGTTCGGCCTGATTCTACGAAGGGAGCACTTGTCTGTTATCACTGATAACAGATCGGTTGCCGATTCGTTGGTCTACGACTCAACTTTCCTATCTCTCCTGCCTCTCAACCTAAGGCCTTGGCCCTTGCTAGGTTTTGTGTGTTTCTTTGGGTTTTCACCCAGTTTCTTTATAAATGGTCATTTCTTAAAGACTGAGTATATTTGTTGAGGGGGAATGGTTGGGCTTGTGTGCGTAAGGCAGGGTGTGAGCTGCAAGAGGCTGAAAAGTTGACTCCTTTAGTGCGTGTGATGTTGTTTGAATATCGGATGTTTGCAGGTATGTATAAGAGAGACTCGATTCAATATGTGATGAATGATTATGTTTTGAGTTCAAATGGGCAAACCACACGGCTGTCGTGAGAGTGAACTACCCCACAACCTTTGTGTTGAGTGAGATTGTTTTACCCCCGTTCAACTGAGGTGATAATCAAAGTAAGCTTACGTTCGGGTAACCCCCATAGGGCTAATCCCGACGATGTCTTTCCAGATGACGTAAGAGCATTTGTGTTGTTTTTCCTTGTTGAAATTTACTATGGTGAAACGATAAAGTTCCGGGCGGAAGGGTTAGGGTGTTGCTGGCGATACGCCAGACAACTCACCACTGCTTCAAATTCCTTCCTGCCCTAGGGGCCGTTTTACCCCGCACCATTTGGGACACCTCAGGGTGCAGAAGACTGGAAGACCCTCAGACCTGTTTTGCGCTCGCCAAGGGGTTACCTCCCCTTAGCGCGCGCTTCAGCCAACGCCTGAGCGTCGAACGCAACCCCATGGCTCGGAATAGGCCGCTTGGGTATGGACACCACATAATGCGCCATCCTCGCAAATACTCACGTAGAGGTGCATAGTGGATTGGTACGTGTGGGGACCACGTCCGCGCGATCTTGTACTTAGTCCATGCGCGCAGCACTCGCCGATCCTCGCACTAAAAGTTATGGGTCAGGCGACGAGACCCAAAGCGCGATACTGTCAATAGGGTCGAGTTGTAGTAACGAGAAGCGACACATGGGCGAAGGACCAGTCCCAGTCGACCTATGGGAGTCCGTTTACGGGCCTCACTATCCCGGATATCGGATAGCCTACGAGTAGGACTTTGGGCCTCCTTTGAGCGCGCGTCGTTTGGGCCGGCCTACCCCTTCCATTTTAGGAGGCCACTAAACTAACGCAAGTTGAACTCAACTCCTCTTTCGAATTTTCATGGTTTGATGTTATAGTCTGTGGCAGCCGTCAAAGTCAAACCCCTTGATGTTTGACTGCCACGACAGCTTAACGCTGTCTACTCAACCCCTCTGCACAGGGTGCAGAAGAGCGTGTGGTTTTCAACCGCACATGGCGGTTGTCTGGCGTCGAGAGATTACCCCTCAAAGCGCCTGTCAGCCGACACTTGAATGTCGAACGTGACCCTCGAGATTATCAAGGGTCGCGATGCTACAAGTGCCACATAGTACCCCATCAGCGTGAGTGCTTGCGTATGCCCGCATGACTGGTTGATGTGACGAGGCCATGCGCCCATACGATTCTTATACCAAAGTCCGGCGCGCGGTACCTACCTGATTTCTGTTGCATAAAGTTATGGGGCGGATACTGAAGGGACTAGGAGTACTGTGGTGTCGTGGTGTTGTTTGTAGTGGTTGTTTTGTGTATCTCCGTGTGTTATGCGTAGTAAGTATGAATATTGTGGCGTAACGCGTGGCGTGTATAGCGCGTCCTAGTTGCCCGACGTCGAATCGTGCTTGGGACTTCAGCCCCCCAGTGCGTCGATCCGCGTACGGGTTCGATTATGGGCGTTCGATCGCGCGTACCCCCTATGCTACAGCGAACGAGAAACGCCCTTGGCTGGGCCACCTCTGAAATTGCATACGAGAAGCTTTCGCATGTGGTTCAGTAGCTCGGCAGGGATACACCCACCTAAGGGATGGTGACAGCTCCCGCAGGTGGAGGTAAGCGGTGCCTCGCGTGACCCTGTCCTGTCGTAGGGGCTCACGAGAGGTACGGCTGGCGCACTCGGCCGGAGCGGCCAGAACGCTCTACGACAAAGTCCTGCCAAATCTTGCGTGACGCGGCCGGGAGGGTCCCCATGCGGGACCGATGCGCTGAACAGCGTATTCACTCTGATAGAGTGACTATAGCTGGATGCGGTTGCATATGGAGGCTCACTCCCGGCACAGGGGCAAGGGCTTCGAGCACAAGAAGGGACTTGACCTCCAATGAGGATGATTGCAGGGACGGAGGGAGGTCACTGACTCCATCTATTAGCGTGTCGACCGTGTATCAGCGCAGGAGGGCAGTCAAACTTCGAGAGCAAGCGACGAGGCATTGAGGGAGTGGGAGTAGCTCTGTCGCGAGTGTACGTGGCAAGGGGTGGCAGTCTCCACGTGTTGAGGATGACGACGGGGCTGAGGAAGACGACAAGGACGAGGCGATGAGGTTCTCGAGGTCTACACCCCGGTCGTCATTAGGGTGTCAGGCGGTGGGGCCAGATGCGGAGGGCGAGGGTTTGTACGATGACTTCAGTGAGCCGGAGACCGATTTTGATGTGGATTTGGGTGATCCTCCTACAACAAGGGCTCCACACCGCGAGCCTCTTGCGGCAGGAGCGTCACAAGGGGACCTTGGCATTGATACATCCTCCATGCGCGATCTCATGACCAAAATTGAGGTTGTTGTGCCTTGTTTTTCAACAAGTGCGGACATTACATCGCATCATTTCCAAAGACATCCGACAGTGCATCAGGCAAGACCGCTATCGCAAAGAGAGGAGGCACAGGAGGAGCGCGAGGCTCGAGAGGCACGGGAGGACAGGAGGACAGTATTAGGGCCAAGGCCCTAGTGGATGTCGACCCACGCACACAGGCCATAACGCGGCAGATGGATGCCATATGTACGTTGGAGACGGTGGGCGAGGCCACGACAGTCTTCGAGGGAGCTCCGACAGTAGTTGTGTAGGAGGACATGGTAGGGGGTGGAGATATGGCTGCGCAGGAGGTGTTTGAGGGTGGAGATACGGTCGTGCAAAAGGGGACACTTTCGGACGATGGACAAGTGGACGAGCACACTAATGAAGTAGGGTCACAACACCTACGCAGGGGGTTATTGGGGAGGTTGCACTTGCGCAAGACATGCAGGCCGAGGAGCAGGGCATCACAATAGGAGGGTTATCGGATGAGAGCGAGGCAGCGGTTCCAGCGTTGGATGCGAGCTTGCTGACATCAAGGAGGCTGTGGCCCAACATAGGGTGGATGTCAGCTTCATTGCTACCAACTTGAAGGGAATCGCAAACGATCGTGACACTACTGCACAGGATGGTGTACGTGTGGGCATGACAAGCGTACAGGCTGTTGCAGAGGTCCGCAAAATGCAGGTTGTAGGGGCAGCTTGTGCAGTAGGGTTGCATGGCGGTGAGGGGGGATGGAGGTTGATTCTCACGTGTTCTTTTCGCAACACGAGACTTTGGGCATCGAACAAATCGTCAATTATCGATGTGACCAGCAGAAGGACTAGTGAAGGTGGATCCCTAGTCCCGAAGTACCCAGAGTCGTCGAGGTCGAAGAGTGCTGGCAGGGGACAGGAAGAGTGTCAGCAGGGACAGTCTCAGCAGGGAGCGTTGCTATGTCATTTTAGTATTGATGACGAGGTGGTGGCAAGGGACGGATCGACTGCAGCTGAAGTTGGTGGTGGCAAAGATGAAGGAGCGGGTCCGGCGAGTCCCCGTAATGTAGGAGGTGGACCGGGTCACATGGAGGAGTCCCCTATGTCAATGCGGCTGCGATTTTGCATTCTTGTTGCGTAATGCAGAGTATGGTTGACAAACAGCCCGGCAGTCGAGGAGGGAAGACGACATTGAGCCCACGGTTGGTGACGGCCTCCGCATTTGCTGCTAGGGATGTGCCTGTGCGTGGAGGTCCTCCGATAAAGGTGGCGGGCCGCACTTTAGGAGGGCATGTGCGACATGTTCTGGCTACTACTACTGCAGACCCAAGGCTGTCGACGGAGGAGGAGGGGATAAACCCCAGCCTCCCCATGCCGCCTTCAGCGAGGTGGCAGGTGAACATGGATACCGCAAACGTACAGAGGTTCCCGACAGTGTACGTGCTGTGCACGACGACGGCGATGTGCCACGACAGCGACTCGGGGGAGAGGACATGTCGAAACACTGGGGAGAGGAGGGAGTAGCAGGGGAGGGAGGGGGCGCCCGAGAAGGGTCACTAGACTAGGCAGGCCTTGAGGCAAATGATGACATTTTTGTTTATGATTTGTACTATACTTCGCTATTAGCAGGACCAGAATTTAGGACATATACTATACTACACACTGCCACTACTTCATGGCCTTTTGCATAGAATGTGTACTATACTTCGCTATTAGCTGTAGACGATTTTCGTAGACGTAGTTCATGACTTCATGACTTCCATGAAGGTCTGAGCGGTACCTGCCGTGCACTTGGTCATTCATGTCTGAACTTGTCGTGATGAAGAGTTGGCCTCTGAGCCCCTCCCCATCAGATTTCATATTTGATTTCGTCGGAGACTTGTGGAGGGTGAAGTTATATGGTGTGCTTTCTTATATTCATCTTCTTCTTCTTACGCGACGTCATATTTCACGAGTGTATTTGATGGTAATTTATGCTTGCTTCATTTTTGTATGTGTCTACAGCTTCTATGTATGTCGTAACATTGTCGTTGCCTTCATATTTCAATTTTGCTCACTTCATTGCCGTCGTATGCCATTTTTTACATGAATATCTTTGTCTTTGTACCAATGTGGTTCGCAACCGTCTCCGTTTTTCATCGTCTTGCTAATGTGGTCTGAGGATGGGTTTTGGGTGGAGGCGGGTGTCCATAAACTGTTCTTTGGAGTGGCAGACAGCTGAAAGGGTTTCAAATTTTTATTTTCTTTTGAGGGGTGGGGTGGGGTATCATGGACCCCCATTGGTTGCTGAATGTCCGCTGGTAGTAGGCGCCACCCCGCCAAAAAAAAATAAAAACAAAAATAAAAAGTTTTTTTTTCGCATCGGAAGAGCCCGCGTACAACAGTAGGGGGGCCGTAGTATGGGATGTACGTGCATGTGCATCCCGTACATTGAGACGTCTAGGTTGTCTGCGCCTGGTGGGGCAAAAATTTGGGGTTCATCCAGTCGATACGGGTTAGCTATTTGCAGATCCCTCATGTGGTCTACGCTTCGTGGGGTAAATTGCAATCTGAGCAAATCGTTGTTCTAACCTCTCGACGTTTGGGGCTACATCCTGAGTAGGGAGGGACTGCCCCCGGAATCGAGAGTGTACCTGGGGCTGCACCCTGAGTAGGGACTGCCCCCGGAATCGAGAGTGTAACTGGGGCTGCATCCTGAGTAGGGACTGCCTGCGGAATCGAGAGTGTACCCTGAGCAGGGACTGCATCCTGTTGTACAGGTGATTCGTGAATATCAACGCTGAAGGGCAGTAAACACTGTTCTGTGGCTGCCTGCAGGCTGCTGGACTATCTGCAGGAAGCATAGGAGCGGATATTTCTGTTTGGAGAAAAGGAAACGCAACAACCTGTGATGAGGATCAGGGCCCGCAAAAGCAGCAATGTGGCGCACACTGTTGATGGTACACAATAAGAGGCGTAGTGGTGTTGCGAACTTAAGATGAGCCTGTCTCCAGCAACGGAGGTGGAAGAATGGGAACAATGGGAATGGGAGAGTCCGTTCCCAAGCGAGGCCGTGGAGAAGATGGGGTGTGGCACAGAGGAATGCAGCCAACTGTCGCCCATCACAGAAAGAGATAAGAGGGGTGGATCGGGCAAGATTTCGAAATAAGGGACGCGAGGGTCGGATGGACTGTGGTCTTCCTTGCACTGGAGCTGTGGCAGAGGAAGCTGTAGCAGCAAATCTACGATAGGGGGAATTCCAGCTGTGGAAGCTGCTGTATTGAAAACTGCAGCCGAGAAAACGGCAGTCATCGAAACTTTAGCAGTGGACATTGCGGTAGTAGAAACTGGAGCAATAGAAATTGTATAGTAGAAACTGGAGCTGTGGAAACTGCAGCAGCAGATGAGCAAGGAGGGGCAGGACAAAAGCATCGTGGGGGCAAAGAAGAAAGTGGCTAAGACAGGGACCATCGATCCAAGGGCATGCCATCATGTACCAAAGACTTGGCGGCAGCAATGTAAGAGGAGGCTAAACTAGTGCAGAAAACAATGATTCGGCGGGGTATGAAGTCCTTGAAGATCTTCATCCATCAGTGAAGAACATGCACGGCATCATCCAGGTCACCCTCTTTGTTGATCGTCATGTAGATGTTGACGCCTCGAGATCCATCCGCGAGGAAATTAACGATGGGTCTACCATTGAGTGATTTCCTTCCGTCAGACAGAATAGTGGCACCCGTGACATCGAAAGGTTGTAGACCTTGATCACTCCGCGGCCACTGCCAGTTGATGGACCCTCACAGCAGTCATTCTGGTGATCTCGTTGTGACTGGGTGTTACAACTCGCAGACTGCTCCCCAGCTGCTTTAAAAGGTACTGCTGCACATCTCTTCATGCCTCATTGCGAACGGCAATGAACAAGATGTCGTTGGACTACACGCATTGCAAGATGAGTTTCTTGAACTCTCCACTCCATGCACTGCCGTATACCTCATCCACACTTTGTTGCTTCATCCTTTTCCTCCCCTGGGTCAGTCCGCACCCCCCCTCCACACCCTTCTTCTTCACCCCCGCGGCCTTGGTCTCCGCTCAAGCGGCCTCTCGTCGAGTGCGGGCCTGTGAAGCAGCCTTTGCCGGCTGCATGAATCCCACCCCGCCTGCTGCATGTTCCTTGCCCCTGGCCGATCGCCTAACACCAGAATCCTCCTCCTCGCTCTCCTCTCCCTCGAGGTCCACAATGTCACAGCCCCCTCCGACGGCTACTGCGCCCCCCTTCCTCCCCCCCAACCCACCGTGCTGGCTCAAGACCGTGATCCTCCTCGAATAGAACGCTCGGTCATTATACTAGATCTAGACTGATAGTTTCCCCAAATACAGCTATATTGGCCAGGCATTCTATTTGGGTGAAGACGGTAGGGTCAGACAAGTTATATGTGAGGTATCTGCCGTTGCAAAACTTTGCCAGTTCGATTTTAAAGTCTTTGGGCTGGCCGCACTGGTGCTATGTTCATGCTATGAAGTTTGAGACAAGTTTCATGATTTCCAAGCATAACAGAGCGCCCATGGTGCCTGCTGTTGTGAAACAGCTGATAGCCTGATACTAGTAATGAGACCAGCATCCACATCCGCGTGAGTTTTCCATCTACACATCTGCTCCCTGCTCAGACTTCATTTTTCCCTCCCTTCTCGAGGAGAAACTCACGGAGGCTTGATCATCCTGCAGGCTAGAGGCAGCCCCTACCCTGTAGTTGTGCCACATTTCTGCTCTGGCTCATCTACTGGTGGGCAGCATCACCTGCTTGCAACCAGCGCCAGCGTTCCTTGTCATATCTTTTGCAGACAATCCAAGAGGGAGAGTATAGTCCTCTTGAGCCTACGCCAGGGCCACCTAATGGACCTCATTAATGCTAGAGTAGACTCCCTCGACAGGCGTCGGCGATTCCGGCATTACAGTTGGGGTCGGAAAAGAGTCAAAAGACCGAAGAAGCTGAAGGCCATAGCATGACAAATTTGACAATACACCAGCAGGCCTAGCTCAGTTGGTACACCCATGAACCGTTGAAATACAGACCTGACTTTGAATCCTAACGGAACTTGAGTGAATGGAATGACATCAGACGTCTCACGGCCGTTTCCCTTCTTTTTCTTCTTTTTTTTTTCGTTCAGTACCCTAACAAGACGACCATGGAATGCTGGGGAAAGAGAGATCGGTCAGGGAAGCGAGGAGCAGATCAGACGGGCCAGTTCTCATCGGGTTTGGCCCACCTTGGAATGTCTCTTTTTTTTGCCGCATTCCAGTGAAATGGCTGCCTGAACTTGTTCTGGATGCTCCTGTACACCTTCCTCCACTGACGAAAATGTGTTTCATTCAATGAGCACATTGTTGGGACGTTGAACACCATTATCAGCAAATTTTGTGAAATATAAAGAAATAAATATATACATGTACGATAAGTCGGTGAAACTCCGACGAAACAGTTTGGCACAGCCCCTCGTTTGTCGTCCTCTTCTCCCTCTCTGCCTACGGTTTACCGGGCAGCTCTGTTTGACTTTATATTATATATATTTCGTCAAACAGAGCTGCCCGGTAAGCGGTAGGCAGAGAAGGAGAAGAGGACAACAAACGAGGGGCGGTGACAAAAGTGAGTGCGATGCGTTCCTCGTGAGGAACAATATTCAGTGCATCCGTGTCCACCTTGACGCTAGATAGCAGTCAGAGAGTTCCCACCTCCAACAGGGCAGATAGGGGGTTTAGAGAAGGAGCGAGGGGATGCACGTGCTTGCTATGTGCAGAGGCGATACCGAGACTACCAAGTGTGCCGCGTGGCGGCCGAGGGGATGTCTGAGCTCCAGGATTGTGCCATTCATGTGGTGCATTTGTGGCCAGTCGCCTCTCCTGCAGAGAGGAACACGGCAGCCTTGAGGGCATCCACATGAGGAACAGAAACAAGTTGGCGATCGAAAAGGTGTCGAAGATCGTGGAAATCACTTTGAACATGCGGTTGAGGAGCTACAAATCGGCGGGAAGTGGGAATGTGCCGACTTGGCAGTGCGATGAGGCTACCTTGGACGCGGCTCCTAGCATTGATTTTGAAACCGCATGCGAGGGCACATGATGTGGGATGAGTGAGGAGTGTGCTCGGCAGCCTGAGATCGCGTCCATCTCCTGAGGCCTCATTGGGATGCGAGCGCCATCTCCAATGGAGCAGATATTTGGTGCGAGTGCTGTAGTTTTGTGTCTGTATCGTAGAGATGCGGATCAAAGTACGAGAGCGCGGAGATGGCTGTTGATGACCAGGAGGAGCTATAACTGCCTACTAATTTTAAGGAGATTGCCGAGGAGGGCGAGTAGAGTGCTGTCAAGGTGGTGAATAGGCGAGAGGCCCACAGTGAGAGGTTGACGAGGAGGACACGGAGAGGTGAGAGGAGTTTCAGGATTAGTACAGACAGCCTCCGAGAAGAGGCAATGTTGGATATTCCTTGTGGGCATAAGTCACACGGGTGCCGCTGCCGGGACACCACTGACGGCAACGACCACCACACATGTGCCTTCACCGGAAAAGGAGAGGACAAAGAATCCAAATCCCTTCAATGCGGGTCCCTTCAGTTCAGCTGCGGCAACGGGTAGGAGGAGGTCTCTACTGGTCCCATTGCGTTCGTCGTCTGCCGCTCGGATTCAGGAGGCGGTGCACATATGACCCCCCTCCACTAGGAGGACGACGTCGCTAGCTCAGGTTGGATTCCCCAGAGACAGGGATCTCGGAGCCTGCAACAGGTGGAGGATCAGTGGGTGTCATCGATGGTGAGGGGACTCACGGGGTGCACAATGACAGTCTGCCTTCGGGTATAGAAGGTAGCGGCATGCAGCAATTTGTGCCGGATGACCTTGGAGTGGCGTTACAGGGATTGACACAGGGTGTCGCCAGGGACTTGGATGTTTTTGAGACAAGGGGGGGGGTTGAGTTGGGGTACAGGACTCCTGTCGATTCAGGGGCGCCGATGGGTGCAGGTGTATCCATGGAGGAGGCAAGTTTAGGCGTGCGATCTCCTCTGCTCACGAGACATGGACATTGGAGGAGGGGGAGATGAGGGGGGATGCCTCGACAAGAGTAGAGGTGGGCAAGGCTGCCATCTGTGCGACATAGACAGGTCGGGAAGGCTGCTGGACATATAGCGCAGGCTTGCTCGCACACTCAGGAGATCGCACTTCAGCAGGCAGAGCAGAGGGTCAGGGAGTCGGGCATGACTGCACCACCTGTAGGGGGGCAGATGGTGGAGACATAGCATAGGGATGTTGGGGCGGGTGTCAGCAGAGCGGACGAGTGTGTGCCAGCTCAGGAGGTGCTACCGGCCGAGGGCAGTGACATGGGGAGAGCGACAGATGAGCCAGCATCGAGTAGCATTCCAGAACTGGTTGTGGATAGATGTACAGGGGAAGAGACACGGGCGGGGCTGCTTGTGCATTATTCCGACTTACAAGCTGTCGCTACTTCACAGCCTCCCCTTACTATGCACAAAACTCCTTTTCCAGAGCCGCCACCTGCGGTAGATATAGCACCTCAGCGGGTCGTGAAGTTTCAGACTTGTCAATAGGGTACAAGACTTCGACTCTTTAGGAAACGGCGTCAGCATATGTAGGGCAATGCCTTAAGGCTTAAACCTCCAGTACATCTGGAGAATTTGAATGAGCCTCTCTACAAAGTTAGGGGATTTGAGACAGGGCCCACCTGGGGGCGGGCAGGATTTTTTTGCTGTTCAAGGCTGGGCCTAGGGCCACTCCATGGCATGGGACAATTTTTTTTCTACTGGCCATTTGGTCAGGTAGCCCCAAGCCTCCAAAATCATCAGATTGGCTCGATTACAATTCGCAAGTCTGCCGCGGTGATGTACTGGCGGCTTGAAGCTTCGATGGCGTTCAAAATGCTTTGTATGGTCCCTACATTGCCCCCTGTGTTTGCACTTGTGGGTGATCCCCAATTCCACCCAACTGCAAACTTGAGATCCTTAGGTGTCCCCCCCACGTCTTGGATCTGCCGCTGTGCCCGTCCATACGCTCTCTCCTGTGCGAACCCTCTACGTCCAAAAAACAATAGTTTTGCTATAAATTTAACTGATCACCGCGTCGATACAGTAAGTACGCAGTTACGCAGTTACGCAGTTATAAAAAATCCTGCTAATGTAATAGGAATTAATCCAAGTACTATACCAGATAGAAGAGGTTCAACCATAGTTGTTTTTGTATTTGAGGTTAAAAAAAAATTGAATAATACAAATCCTACAGGAGTGGATTGGTTACAATTTGCCCTTACGTTTCAAACGGATTCATGAAATTCACCTTAACAGGCTACTGCCTAACTGTTCATATCAGATATCCTCCCTATGCTTTCACTTCCCCGGCCCTGAAACCGTCCTCGGTTTTCCACATCGAGCCCCCCCCCCCCGCCCTCACCACAACAGCCCCAAAAATTCATGGTTATAACACAGGGCGTCTACGAACTGCAGCTCAGAAGAACTGGTGCCTGGACAGTTTGCCTCATCCTACCGTCTTCACCTGAACAGAACACCTGGTCATTTTTGCTGTGTATCTAGACTGAAAGTTGCCCCGAAAAATACAGCCAGCTTCGATGATTGGGTGTCGTATTCGGGTGAAGTTGGTAGCCTAAAAAAGACGGACCCTTCTTTTTGTTGTTGTTGTTTCTGCAGATACAGATTCATTACAGAAGAATGCAACACCTAAGGAACAGATCTTTTTCAAGTACAGTCGTACAGATTTTTCTTTCCGTCCAATTGGGCATGAGAAATAGCCTCAAATAGGTGTCTGGAACATCAGTCTTGACCTTTAGGTAGCAGCATTACTCTCCCACTTCCTGGTAGGTTCCCCTTCCCCCCCCCCCCCCCCCCCCCCCCCCCCCCCCCCTTTCCTCCAAATCCCCCAGGAAATCTTCCTAAGGGAATGCAGGTGGCCATTGACCCAGGCATGCGACCCCGCTTTTTTTTGTGAGTGAATAGTTCCCCTGTGCGCGGCATGGTGCGGGTCCACTCGTGTCCCAAATGTGCGAGCCCTAAGGTTGCCACCACATACTCCGAAAGATGTTGTGGCCAAGGAAAGGTACTCCTTTCCGCACGACGTGCGCTTGCATGTAAGGTCTAGATACAGCTCCTCTGCTCTTGAGCTGCCTTCTGTAGCATCTCTATACGATGGACTCAGGACAGCACAAGATGATGACCAGCAAGCACTGTCTTCCCAACTAAAATGTACGGTAATTGTAGCAGTATTTTTTGGGCAACATTCAGTCTTATAGATAGAGCGATAATGAACGTACCTTGTATTCGGGGGAAGAAGGTAGTACGCAGAATTGAAGCCAAGGCCAACCAGCCACTGAGCCCAGCCCCTCCCCTGCCCAGCAGTGTACGGCATCCTTACTCACCTTTGGCCATCAATAATTCAAGATCAATAACCATTCTTCTTCCTTTGCAGGTCAACCGGGGCCCTGTGCCAAACGCGGCTCATGCCTGCACGGTAGTTGAGACCACTCTCCCACAACGCCCCCCCGCCCCCAACAGCCTTTCCCCTTCTGCAGAAAAGGATTGAAATTTGAAAAGGCAAACCCGTTTCTGTCTCCCTTCTCTGCGAATGTCTTCTAAGTTCTCACACAATTCTGAGAGGAAAAGATCACCAAAGTCGATGAACGAAAAGTTCTGGCACAGCTGCTGATCACCGGCGGCCTGTCCCCCACCCTCACAGCCAGCAAAATCAGCAGGAATCACATTTTCAATGAGGTGACGTCCGCAGGGAGACTTGTGGTTTAGCAGAAGCGAAGGGAGGTAGAAAGGGGGATACAGGGAGGACAGTGGGAGTTGAGAGGGGTAAGCGTTCTTGAATGTGTGTGTGCGAGACTTGTGGTTTAACAGAAGCGAAGAGAGGTAGAAAGGGGAATACAGATAGAACAGTGGGAGTGTGCGAACTAAGAGTTCTTCAATGTGTGCGCGAACACGTGTGTGCTGTCATGTCCCCTATACACAACTCCACAGGAAAGAAAAAACGCATGACTCTGTCAGACTGTTTCGTTGGATTTGCACCGACTAATCATTTGCGACTCATCATATCTGTATGTGTTCGTGTGTGGTGTGTGTGCATGTGTGGTGTGTGTGCGTGTGTGTGTGTGTGTGCGTGCGTGTGTGTGTGTGTGTGTGTGTGTGTGTGTGTGTGTGTGTGTGTGTGTGTGTGTGTGTGTGTG